AAGAAAACTAGAATACAACAATAAATACCATACGAAAATACAGTGCAAAGTCGCTGTTTTATTCTCAAAAAACGGTCGTCAAAGTTTTTTTTTTCTCATTATGCACTGTGTGCTGCAGGATTTTTTTTATACTGCGCACACTGACCACATAACCCTATACTTTCATATGTAGGCCTACCAGCTTTCTCCCACTAGATTTGAGGGCGCTAGAATTTAGGCATACTAGTACGTCAAAAACCCTGGGTCGTAAGCCGTACTAGTACGGCCGAAACCCTCAAAGGGTTAACTCTCCTCATCTTCCTTCTTCCTGAACTGTGAACCACTAGCCACTTAAAGTGGCTGCCACTGTCACTGCTGGTGACCATTTCCTCCTTACCAGCTAAATCCTTCTCACACTCACTCCCAAACTCATCTATGCAAAGCTTCAGCCTCCTATTTTTCTCCTGAAGAAGTAGAATTTCCTTCTTCAACACTTGAACCTGCCACAACTATCCTTCAACATTATTGCTACTCCTTCCTTTGCTCTAACTCTGTTAGAAAACCCTGACCTAATCCCATTTATTTCTCTCCGCTGAAACTCTCCTACCCTCCTCAGCCTTGTTTCACTTAGAACCAGGACATCTAGCTTCTTTTCATAGCATCCACAATCATTTCTTTATCATTTGCACTACAAACACGTACATTCAAACATCCAACTTTGACAGTTTTCTTCTTTTTCTTTTTAGTAGGCTATATGGGAAAAGGGGTTACTAGCCCATTGCTCCCGGCATTTTAGTTGACTTTTACAACACGCATGGCTTATGGAGGAAAGATTCTTATTCCGCTTCCCCATGGATGTGAAAGGAAAAGTAATAAGAACAAAAACTAATGCATAATATAAAATTAAAGAAACTCAGATGAGTGTGTATATATAAACATGTATATGCATGTGTAGTGTGACCTAAGTGTAAGTAGAAGTAGCAAGACATACCTGTAATCCTGCATGTTTGAGACAGAAAAAAGACACCAGTAATCCTACCATAATGTAAAACAAATACAGGTTTCTGTTTTCCACTCACTTGGCAGTATGGTAGTACCTCCCTGGGCGGTTCCTGTCTACCAACCTACTACATAATAAGTCATGTCTGTATGTTATCATGATGTATATGGTATCACTGTTGTGGACTGGCAGGCAAATATAAGTACAGTAATTGGAGTATCTTTTAAATATTATATAGTCCCACAGATTTATTTATTGTGCTGCTTGTATGTTCTTAGCATTGATATTTGACAGTCTCTTAATTATAATAAAGATTCATATTTGGAATGTTCTAACATACAATTTTAACCCCTTCAGGGTCCAAGGCCAAAATCTGAAGTGGTGCTCCAGTGTCCAAGAAATTTTGAAAAAAAAAAAATTATTTTTTCTTACAGAATTAAAGAGCATATTTTTGTGAAGGTAATAAGACAAAAAAAATTCTGATCAGTACTTACCGAGATACAGTGCCAAGAAGTTTGTCGAAAATGATGTGGTGGCGGCAACATCGACGAATTCCACATACGCGCATTACATTATTTTGAGGTTATTGTTGTTTTTTCTTTTCTTTTCCAATTTTTTTCTATTCCTACTAACATTTGGGGCCTGAGAGACCAATACTGTATATAATGTATATATATAAACTCACTGTATTGAACACAATAACCGCACTAAAGTTATTATCATATTATTGTTTACCACTGTTGTTTATTACAATAAACATGCACAAATCCTGTATAATACTAATGTTCTATCATATATTTACATATTTACAATCACTGGGCATGGTTTTAGAACTGCTGGAGCTTGTGGAACTCCTTGAAACAAGGCACCATGCGCAGAGGCACCTTACATTCCTCACACATAAACCGAGTGTCTTTGCGTCTTTGTTCACGTCTTTTTGTTTGTGCACAGACGATGCATCTCTTCTGAGCAAATTTCTTCTGAGTTGAAGGAAGTTGTATTATGAAATGATCACCTTCCCTCCTCAAACGCTTGGGTATATCCTGAGGAATTCGAGGAGCGTGTTGTATAGCAGGTGTTGTTACCTGGTACTTCATTATGAGTTGTCTGACAACAGACAAACAAAATTCACCATACGGTGGTCTGTTGCCAGTCTTTATTTGGTACATATTATATGCACTGAGCATTGAAATGTCCATGAGATGGAAGAAAAGTTTCACGTACCACTTGTAACTCTTACGAACACAGTCAACAAAACCAATCTGCATGTCACATTTGTCAACCAAGCGCATGTTTTGTGTATAATCAATCACTGTCACTGGTTTTCGAATACGTTCATTAGTCACTCGATCAACTTTGCCACTGTCTTGCATTTCATTACAGTGAATGGTTGTCAACAATGTGACATCTCGTTTGTGATGCCACCGTAATGCCATGATGTCATTGGCAGTAAACACCTGCACGTCATCACCATGAGCACCTGCGTTGAGCCTGGGCATATGTTTACGATTAGAACGCACTGTGCCACACACATCTGTCTTGTTCACTCGCATGAAATCACTGAGTAATGGGCTTGTGTACCAGTTATTTTTTTTTTTTATTATTATCACACTGGCCGATTCCCACCAAGGCAGGGTGGCCCAAAAAAGAAAAACTTTCACCATCATTCACTCCATCACTGTCTTGCCAGAAGGGTGCTTTACACTACAGTTTTTAAACTGCAACATTAACACCCCTCCTTCAGAGTGCAGGCACTGTACTTCCCATCTCCAGGACTCAAGTCCAGCCTGCCGGTTTCCCTGAATCCCTTCATAAATGTTACTTTGCTCACACTCCAACAGCACGTCAAGTATTAAAAACCATTTGTCTCCATTCACTCCTATCAAACACGCTCATGCATGCCTGCTGGAAGTCCAAGGCCCTCGCACACAAAACCTCCTTTACCCCCTCCCTCCAACCTTTCCTAGGCCGACCCCTACCCCGCCTTCCTTCCACCACAGACTGATACACTCTTGAAGTCATTCTGTTTCGCTCCATTCTCTCTACATGTCCGAACCACCTCAACAACCCTTCCTCAGCCCTCTGGACAACAGTTTTGGTAATCCCGCACCTCCTCCTAACTTCCAAACTACGAATTCTCTGCTTTATATTCACACCACACATTGCCCTCAGACATGACATCTCCAGTTATCGGTATATAATGTATGCCCCTTACCAAGATAAGGTGCCATCATGTTTCTCACTACGTCACCTGAGATACCCAATAACATCTTGGTATCTTTCAATGTTTTACTACCCATGTATACAACAATATCCAACACCAGGCCACTGTCACAATCACAGAGTACAAACAGTTTTATACCAAAGCGTTTCCTCTTGCTCGGTATATACTGCTTGAATGACAGTCTACCTTTGAACAAAATCAAAGACTCGTCAATTACAAGATTCTTGAATGGATAAAAGTATATGCTGAACTTTTGTTTGAGATACATGAAAACATTTCTAATCTTGTATAACCTGTCACTTCTGTCAGGCCTGGTTTTGTCAGAGAAGTGCAACATACGTAAGAGTAGGATAAACCTGTTCACTGGTATGATTTCCCTGAAGACCGGGGTAGAAATTAGCCAATCTGTGGACCAGTATGCTTTTATATTATGCTTATAGACGTGAGGCATAAGCATTATTGTTGCAAAAAGCAAATACATTTCTGCAACAGTCGTCTCTTTCCACCTGTGTAGTCTTGACTGTGGTGATAAGATCGTATTTGCCATGGTGTACTCAAAATACTTATTACTTTCCCTGACAATAATTTCCATCAATGGCTGGTCAAAGAATAATTCAAAGAATTCCAGTTCATTGGCTGTGGTTCCAAGGGGACAAGTAGGTAAAATTCCACTTTGAGAATCATCAAAGTGGTGAGGCTTGGGAACAAAATTGGGATTTTGCTGCCAATCCCACATACGGTTTGCTGGTGGATACTGGACATCATAGGCTGGTTGTGCGGGTGGTTGTGGTTGTGGTGGGCTGGTGGCTGGCGCTCCGCTTTGTCCTTGAACTGATGAGTCAGCAGCGTGGGTCCCAGCGTGGCCTCGTGAGTCACGCATGGCGGTGCCACTACCATCACCACTAACACCATCCACTGATGCCTGTGGTCTATCCATGCCAAGTGTAGCCACATCATCCTCACTATCACTACCTAAAACTGGTGTTGGGCCACGGGATGTACTCCGTCCCCTGGGCACAACATAGGGTACACTACCCAAGTGCATGCGGCGGCGAACATACCGACGCTTCACTGTTGAATATAATTCCTCACTATCACTACTCGATTGATCGTCGAGCGCAATAAAATCACAGTCCACGTCACTATCATCATCATTACTGAAGTCAGAGGCCTGGCCACGCGAAAATATTAGTTTTCTCTTGCGATGAGGAACAACCGACCGTGAGTCACGAGTGCCCACACCAGAGGTAGAAGGTTGAGGATCGTCAGGGTTTTCTGCACTATTATCGATATCCTGGTCATTCTTTTTGGTCACTAACTGATCAAAGCCGTAGAATTCGTCTTCATTTCCACTTCTATCAGTATCAGAACTATCAGATAGGAAGAGGAGAGTCCCAATTTTCCGGGGAGTGAGAGCTGACTTGCTGCAACGAGGCATGGTGAACAAGGGTAACTGAGCCGGCGTTCCCACAATGCTATGCGGGCGCCTAGATTTTTTGTTTATGGCGCACACCCACCATGCAGACCCGTTCTCTCACATGTAGGCCTATGAGCATTTTCGCTCTAAATTTGACGGCGCTAGAATTTTGGCATAGATCTACGGTTTGGACACTCAACGTAAAGCCGTTGATCTACGGGACGGACCCTGAAAGGGTTAAAACCAGTAATGGTTTTGGCTTTTTAAGAAATTACAGCAATATTATATTTATGATGTGCAACCTTTAGAACTGAATGAAAACTTTTTAAACATTTAACTTTTGTTCACTTTAAACATCAATGACATGAATTTATTTTCAGTATTGCTGGTGAATTAAGCGAGTTCAACAGCATTGGGCTACACATTACCCAACAAATATTGCACAACCATGATGCTTCTATGTATAAGCTCTTGGGTCCATCCAATTCTGACAAAAATTCAAAGACTGTGCTTCGTTGCCTTACAGGTAAATAAAAAATCTACTGCAAAAGATGTAAGTTTGATAATTTCACTTTAATATTATTGCCTAATATTGTATAGCAGGTGCAAGGATTCCACATAAAATGACATATGGTAATAAAGCAAATATTTTTCTTAATTTTTAATAAAAATTAATTGCATTGGTAATAGGATTTGCTATTGCTGAGTCTAAGTTCAAGTAATGGTTCTATTTCACTTATAAAAAATCTCTTATTTCAATATTTTTTTTATTTCTGCATAAAAAACTTTTTTCCAAATCAGAAAAGAATAATCTTGAAGGTATGTAATAAGATGTTATGTTTAATTTTTTTAGGAATAGTGATGTTAGGAGGAGAAGCTGCAAACAAGGTATTATTAACAGTGGACTGGAAACGAGTCAATATTTCTCATGTTGTGAATCGTCAGAGCCTGCAAGATATTCGTGATGTTCGTGCTTGGTGCATCTATTTATTTCTTGCATTTCTTAATGTCCCAGATGACCCACATTGTGTTTTGAAGTTCCTGAAGAAAAAAGGTAAATGTGGCACTCTAAACTATTTTTTGGATACATAGTAATTACTGTAAGTGCTACTGGTAAATACATGTATAGTACTTTCTAAGAGTAATGCCTTAGTAGCATTGTTATCAAAATTTTTGTTTATATGCTGTATATGCCCCTAACCTTCATTTGTCATTGCTGAAATGTGAATTTGATAATTCTGTGATACAGTATTAAAATTAACCCTTTGAGGGTCGACAGACCCTCTCCGAGACTTGTTCTCAGGGTCGGCCAAATTTAAAAAAAAAAATTCTTATGAAAAGATAGAGAATCTTTTCCTGATCATAATGACATCAAAAGTATGAAATTTGATGGAAAACTTACGGAATTATGCTCTCGTGAAGTTAGCGGTCTCGGCGATATTTACGCATCGGCGATTTTGCCCACTTTGAGCCCTATTTTCGGCCAATTACACTGTATTAGTCGACAAAAACATGAATATTTCGCTAGAACTCCATTTTTTATATCAAATGAGTGCAAGAAACCACCCATTTACCAATTTCAACTATCCAGTACAGTGGACAGAATTTAGCAATTTTCCCAATTTCACACAAATTTCAAAAGATGCCAATTTCCAAATAGGGTCCAGAATAAACAAGAAAGACATTCCTGGCACTAAAATGACATTTCCTCTGTTCATTAGTCATGTCCCAAGGCCCTTCTTACATTCTTTTGCTTTCCACTTTGAATTTTAATTCTCACAAAAAATAGAAGATTTACTGTTATGCAGACTACTGCATTAGTGTAAAAAATGGTATAAATAATATTGGCGCACTTGCGAAAGAATATTAGACTCACCAGTTGACGTGTATTGGACGCTTGGCATGATTTATTTACTTTTGAACTTTGGTAAAAATCGAACATTTCTGCTACTTTGAGCTCAATTTCAAGGTACTTTTCATTGTAAAACCAGTCAAAATCATCTCAATTTCTGTAATATGTCTTCCATTCTATAAAATGAGACCAAGAAAACTAGAATACAACAATAAATACCATACGAAAATACAGTGCAAAGTCGCTGTTTTATTCCAGAAACACGGTCAAAGTTTTTTTTTTTCTCATCATGCACTGTGTGCTGCAGGATTTTTTTTTATACTGCGCATGCTGACCACATAGACCCATTCTTTCATATGTATGCCTACCAGCTTTCTTCCACTAGATTTGAGGGCGCTAGAATTTAGGCATACTAGTACGTCAAAAACCCTGGGTCGTAAGCCGTACTAGTACGGCCGAAACCCTCAAAGGGTTAATAATAAACTGAAATTCTGATATTTTTTCAGTACTGTACTAATTCTGTATGAGGTGGATTCCCACTTAACTTTTTAACTGTGACCAAAATACTAGTACATAGATGATGAGGGTGTCTGACATAGTGCACTAGTATTTAGAATTTTTTGTGCCTTCACAAATGCTACCTGGCAATAGTTGTAAAATGCCCTTAACTGTTTGGATCCCCTACAACCTCTTCATGCCCTTGAAAAAATATAAGATCAGGCAGGTCCACACAATGCATCATAAGGTAACTGCCTAACCAGCACAGGTAAACAATGAAACCAGCACCTGTTGCTCCACCACCAGTCTCCTTACCAGCAAACAGGGTGTTGATCTGAAAAGTGGATGCCTCATTCATTCCAAGTGCTTCACATTTCATGATACTAGCAGAGGAATTAAGCTAAAAAAAACACACTTCACAGAAATCTGCATGGTGTGCTTTTGCACACTATGTAAAAGCACAGTGTAGCTTATTTCCATGTTTTGAGGAGTATTACACCATGAAATAATTGTGATATAAGATTTCCTGGTAAATATAACTTTTTTTTTGTTTTTTCTCTCTCAACAAGTCTGCCGTCTCCCACCGAGGCAGGGTGACCCAAAAAAGATTTTGAAGGCACACAGGACATACAGAAGTTACATTATGCTTACATAACCCAGGATATTCTCTCAAACCTAGGATTTTTTTTTAACACACTGCCCATCTCCCACCGAGGTAGGTTGACCCAAAAATGAATAAACACTTTCACCATCACACGCTCCCTCACTGTCTTGCCATTGACATACCAATACTGCAGTTCAAAACTGCAAAAATCCCCACCCCTCTTTCAGAATGCAGGCATTGTACTTCCTACCTCCAAGACTCACGTCTGGCTACCTGGTTTCCCAGAATCCCTTCATAAATGTTACTTTGCTCATGCTCCAACAGCACGTTAATTTATAAAAACCACTTTCCTCCAATCACTCCTAACACACACACACACGTTTGCTGGATATCTAAGCCCTTCTCACAAATTTTCCTCTACCCTCCCCTTCAGTCATTCCTAGCATGACCTGTACTCCACCTTCCCTCCAGTACAGATTTATAAGAACATAAGAAAGGAGGAACACTGCAAGAGGCCTGCTGGCCCATACTAGGCAGGTCCTTTACAATTCATCCCACTAACAAAACATTTGCCCAACCCAATTTTCAATGCCACCCAAGAAATAAGCTCTGATGTGAAAGTCCCACTCAAATCCAACCCCTCCCACTCATGTACTTATCCAACCTAGATTTGAAACTACCCAAAGTCCCAGCCTCAATAACCCAACTAGGTAGACTGTTCCACTCATCAACTACCCTATTTCCAAACCAATACTTTCCTATGTCCTTTCTAAATCTAAACTTATCTAATTTAAATCCATTACTGCGGGTTCTCTCTTGGAGAGACATCCTCAAGACCTTATTAATATCCCCTTTATTAATACCTATCTTCCACTTATACACTTCGATCAGGTCTCCCCTCATTCTTCGTCTAACAAGTGAATGTAACTTAAGAGTCTTCAATCTTTCTTCATAAGGAAGATTTCTAATGCTATGTATTAATTTAGTCATCCTACGCTGAATGTTTTCTAACGAATTTATGTCCATTCTGTAATATGGAGACCAGAACTGAGCTGCATAATCTAGGTGAGGCCTTACTAATGATGTATAAAGCTGCAGTATGACCTCTGGACTTCTGTTGCTTACACTTCTTGATATAAATCCCAGTAATCTATTTGCCTTATTACGTACGCTTAGGCATTGCTGTCTTGGTTTAAGGTTGCTGCTCACCATAACCCCCAAGTCCTTTTTGCAATCTGTATGGCTAAGTTCTACATCATTTAACTTATAAGTACTAGGGTTATGGGCACTCCCAAGCTTCAGAACCTTGCATTTATCTACATTGAACTGCATCTGCCACTTTTCTGACCAAGAATAGAGTTTGTTTAAATCCTCCTGAAGTTCCATAACATCTACGTTTGAATCAATTATCCTACCTATCTTTGTGTCATCGGCGAATATGCCCTCCAAGCCATCCTATTTTGTTTCATCCTCTCTAAATGTCTGAACCGCATCAGCAACCCCCCTTTCTGCCCTCTGGATAATACTTTTAACAATCCTGCACCTCCTAATCTCCAGTCTTCAAATTCTCAGTCTTCAAATTCTCTGCATAATATTCACACCACACATTGCCCTCAGACATGACATCTCCACTGCCTCCAGCCTCCTCCTCCTCCAACCTTGGTGAGAGATAGCCAGTGTGTTGAAAAAAATTATCATTCACCATTACTGCTGTTCCTTCCTTAGCTCTAATTCTCTCGGATACACCTGACCTAATCCCATATATTTCTCCCCACTAAAGATTACCTACCCCTTTCAGCTTTGTTTTGTTTAGACCCTGGACATCTAGTTTCTTTCCATTCATAGCATTCACAGTCAACTTTCTGATGTTCTATACTACATCCATGCCCATTCAAACATCCCAGTTTTAAAAAGTTGTTCTTTTTGAATTTAGTAATTAAATACAGAAGGGGTTATGAGCCCCTTGCTCTCAGCATTTTAGTATTAATTTTATAGCATGTATAGCTTACTAGGGAAGGAATCCTCTCTATTTGCCCATGGGGATAATATAAGAACAGGAATTATTAAGAAAGCAGAAGACACTTTAGATGGGTGTGTATACACATACATGTACGTACCTGTATGTTTAGTTTGAAATAAAATTGCACACATTTGGTAGGATGGTAGTACTTCTCTAGGTGGTTGCTGTCTACCAGCCTGCTGATAATTTCACTGGACCTGCCAATATTTTACATAAAAGTTTATTGGTATATATTTTCTACCTTATTTTTTTTTTCTTATTTTAATAAGTTTTAGACAATTCTTTTATGTTTCTGGCTAATCTTACTTATAACTTTTCCAGATTTGTTGTCTGCTATTTTTCCTGGTCTTGTGTGGGATCCATGTGAGAGAGTCATCAATGTCTTGAAGGTTTTGCAAGAAAAAGTACTACTTAATCCTAATGTCAGTAAGACATTGAAAATGAATATTTTTACACCCATTACATCTAAGCCTCTTCTAGACTTGTATGACTGGATGGGACCAATAGGAAAAATGGCTGAAGGCAACAGTGTACTCGAAATGGATATTCAGATTGTAGAAGACATTCAGAGAGAGAGATCTCAGATCAAAGACATGTTACAAAAATTTCTGCTTACTCTGTACTCTGCAAAATATGGAATTGTTTTCACTGGAAATCTTCAGTATGGAGAAAATAACCCAAATAACATGCATATATTTAATGCGGTGTCTATGATGAAGACACCCTGGGAAAATCCTGAGGGGCGTGAGCTGATAAGTTGTGTTTTAGGAACCTGCCCCGATCTTTTGATGACTTATCTACTGTCTATCAAGGATGTTTTCTCACCAAGCCCCACACAGGCATACATTAACCTTGTTGACATGTTGGTGCAAATAATTGAACACCAGAAACCTTGGAAAAACATGAACACAAAAGGTTTAGAAGGAGTGTTGGCATTACTTTTGCCACAACCTTTAGACCATCAGTTACTCCAGTCACTTGTGGAATCTTGTTACAAAACATTAAGACACTCTGGACTGAAGCTAGTACTTGCTATTCTTTCCAAGACCAAAGAAACTATAGAGAATATTTTAAAGAATAAGTCACTTTCTCAGCAGGTCAAGCAGCAGACTCAGAGAGAATTAATAGAAGCAGTTTTTAAAATTCAGATGACTGTGGATAGCATTATTCATTGCTGGAATATTGCTACGGGCCAAGAGGTACCAGATATCCAAACTGATGAAAATAGAATGATTCAAAGTGAAACTGCTGACCCAGTTCCGGCCATTATCGAACTCTTAACAATTGTAAAGGTCTTGACTTACTACTCTGAACTATTACCAAATCAAACTCTCCATAAAGCCATCAATCCTCTGGAGATGCTGCAGACTGCACGTGTCTTACCGTGTGAAGATGTCAACTGTGTAACAAATGTTAAAGCCAAGTTAGAACTACAGGTTTTGTGCTTAGGTTTCTTAGAATGTAGCATATACAGTGAAGATCTTCCAACAGATAGCTCCTTGAGTATGGATGGGCAGATTAAGCAAATGGATAAAGATGCCATATATCAGTTAATATGTATGTATGCTCAGTCAAAGGAAGAATTTGTAGTTAATGAAAATGAATCAGTAATGCTTTCTGTTGCAGATAAGTGCCTGGATATACTATCAAATTTCCTTGTTAAAGTAGGACTTTCTTTTCATTATAATAGCGATATCAAAATTTGGTTGAGATGTATCTCGAGTACTGGTATAGTAAAGCTCTCTATTTTTTTAACTCAAATAATTCAGAAAACTGTCTCATCCCTTAGTCACTATACAGATCTTCTTGTTGAATTAGGAACCAAGCATCACTTAAATACAAACAATCTTGGCCAGATATATTCTTTCATGAGAGAACTTGAAGCAGTGGAAGTTGTTGACAATGAAGATATTGCTGCACACTCCATTTCACCACCATTCTCTCGTTTGATTCTTGCTGCAGTTGATTTACTTGGAAGTTACCCAGATTCAGAATACATTCAGTATTTTTCAGGTGTAATAAATGATTACCTTCATTCCATGAGTGACCCAGGTTTTATAGCAGATATACTTCTGCAAAATGAAAACATTTTGACTTCAGATTTGCAAGATTATCTCAGGTGTTTATTTAAAGAACCAAAATACAGAAAAGATAAATATTCAAGCTCCATTGAATGTGTTGAAAAAGCAGGTTTATCTGAGATTCTAAAATATATGTTTATGAGTCACAATTGGTCATATGTGGAGTCATTGTTGCTCAAAGGAAACAAATTTAAAGAATTAATGGCAAAAACAGATATTGATTTGATTGTCTCACAGCTCCTCCTCTACCTATACCTAGACTCAAACACAGAGAAGAGTGGAACTAAGATTGTGAAAAAATATATATATATAATAAAGCACATGAGCACTGTTCTTGAGAATGATGGTGCTGAGCAGGTCATCCAAATTGTTTTGGAGCACCCTTATATTTTAGCAAACTACAAACCATTTTCTAGTAAGAAATCTCCAGTTACCGAATTAGCCCAGGAATTTATTAAATTAGCGCTAGAGGAGCATTTTAAACTTGCACCCAAATCATGTTTGTATTTTGAAAAAATTGTGAAAGATATTAAAATAGAAGTAGCTAATGTAGATACTAGTGTTGATTTTTGGAATCCCTTGGCACCATTCATATTATCAAAAAAATCACTTGTAAGCTATGAAGCAATTGAAAAGTTACTAGTGATTTGCCTTGAAGCCCCAAGCCAAACATGTTCTCTAGATACTTTAATTCTTGAGCTGATAAACCTTTTAATAAAATCAACAAGTGCTAAAAGGAAATGTGCAACCCAATCAGTACAACTCATGCTTGCAAGATTTTTAGACTGGAGCAAGAGTAGCAGTCACACTGCTACACAGGAGAGAATTCTGAAAGATCTTGAGAAGCTCCTCACTCTCACCTTGAAAGTAGATGTTGCCTTCCATCTTAGTCCAGGTGAGTATTATCATTATGCAGACTATTTACTTTGGTTTTTAAATTCCTAATTGCTGTTTATATATTTTTTTTTTTTTTTCAACAAGTCGGCCGTCTCCCACCGAGGCAGGGTGACCCAAAAAAGAAAGAAAATCCCCAAAAAGAAAATGCTTTCATCGTCATTCAACACTTTCACCACACTCACACATTATCACTGTTTTTGCAGAGGTGCTCAGAATACAATAGTTTAGAAGCATATACGTATAAAGATACACAACATATCCCTCAAAACTGCCAATATCCCAAACCCCTCCTTTAAGGTGCAGGCATTGTACTTTCCATTTCCAGGACTCAAGTCCGACTATATGAAAATAACCGGTTTCCCTGAATCCCTTCACTGAATATTACCCTGCTCACACTCCAACAGATCGTCAGGTCCCAAGTACCATTCGTCTCCATTCACTCCTATCTAACATGCTCACGCACGCTTGCTGGAAGTCCAAGCCCCTCGCCCACAAAACCCCTTTACCCCCTCTCTCCAACCCTTTCGAGGACGACCCCTACCTCGCCTTCCTTCCCCTATAGATTTATATGCTCTCCATGTCATTCTACTTTGATCCATTCTCTCTAAATGATCAAACCACCTCAGCAACCCCTCTTCTGCCCTCTGACTAATACTTTTATTTACTCCACACCTTTTCCTAATTTCCACACTCCAAATTTTCTGCATATTTACACCACACATTGCCCTTAGACAGGATATCTCCACTGCCTCCAACCGTCTCCTCGCTGCTGCATTTACCACCCAAGCTTCACATCCATATAAGAGTGTTGGTACTACTATACTTTCATACATTCCCTTCTTTGCCTCTATAGATAATGTTTTTTGACTCCACATATACCTCAACGCACCACTCGCCTTTTTTTCCTCATCAATTCTATGATTAACCTCATCCTTCATTAATCCATCTGCCGACACGCCAACTCCCAAGTATCTGAAAACATTCACTTCTTCCATACTCCACCTCCCCAATTTGATATCCAATTTTTCTTTATCTAAATCATTTGATACCCTCATCACCTTACTCTTTTCTATGTTCACTTTCAACTTTCTACCTTTACACACCTTCCCAAACTTATCCACTAAACTTTGCAATTTTTCTTTAGAATCTCCCATAAGCACAGTATCATCAACAAAAAGTAACCGTGTTAATTCCCATTTTGAATTTGATTCCCCATAATTTAATCCCACCCCTCTCCCGAACACCCTAGCATTTACTTCTTTTACAACCCCTCTATAAATGTATTAAACAACCATGGTGACATAACACACCCCTGTCTAAGACCTACTTTTACCAGGAAGTAGTCTCCCTCTCTTCTACACACCCTAACCTGAGCCTCACTATCCTCATAAAAACTCTTTACAGCATTTAGTAACTTACCACCTATTCCATATACTTGCAACATCTGCCACATTGCTCCCCTACCCACTCTATCATATGCCTTTTCTAAATCCATAAATGCAATAATAACTTACCTACCTTTATCTAAATACTGTTCACATATATGCTTCAATGTAAACACTTGATCTACACATCCCCTACCCACTCTGAATCCTCCATGCTCATCCGCAATCCTACATTCTGTCTTATCTCTAATTCTTTCAATTATAACCCTACCGTACACTTTTCCTGGTATACTCAATAAACTTATTCCTCTATAATTTTTACAATCTCTTTTGTCCCCTTTACCTTTATATAAAGGGACTATACATGCTCTCCGCCAATCCCTAGGTACCTTCCCCTCTTTCATACATTTATTAAACAAAAGTACCAACCACTCCAACACTATATCCCCCCTGCTTTTAACATTTCTGTCATGATGCCATCAGTTCCAGCTGCTTTACCCCCTTTCATTCTACGTAATGCCTCACGTACCTCCCCCACACTTACATTCTGCTCTTCTTTACTCCTAAAAGATGGTATACCTCCCTGACCAGTGCATGAAATTACCGCCTCCCTTTCTTCCTCAACATTTAAAAGTTCCTCAAAATATTCTCGCCATCTACCTAATACCTCACTCTCCCCATCTACTAACTCCCCTACTCCATTCTTAACTGACAAATCCATACGTTCCCTAGGCTTTCTTAACTTGTTTAACTCACTCCAAATTTTTTTCTTATTTTCATTAAAATTTCTTGACAGTGCCTCTCCCACTCTATCATCTGCTCTCCTTTTGCACTCTCTCACCACTCTTCACCTTTCTTTTACTCTCCATATACTCTGCTCTTCTTATAACACTTCTGCTTTGTAAAAACCTCTCATAAGCTAACTTTTTCTCTTTTATCACACCCTTTACTTCATCATTCCACCAATCACTCCTCTTTCCTCCTGCCCCCACCCTCCTATAACCACAAACTTCTGCCCCACATTCTAATACTGCATCTTTATTTTAACTTAGTTTGGTATGTATGCTGGCTAGGTTACAATTGGACATATGTATACTGGTTAGGTGTGCCTCTTTTCTAGTTTTTCATTGTGCTGTTTTTTACCTGTGATTTTTTTTTTACCTACTGTACCTTTTGTGCAGTGATACTGATTTTGTCATTGTCAGTAGTGTGCTTTGTATCAGTTATATTTGCAATATTGTGATATTATGGAAAATGTATTTAACCCCTAACTAAAGTTACACTAGTCAATGTTGTTTTCAAGAATTAGTGTGATTTCAACAGTAGAATTATAATTAAGAGCTTGGCCAAATTATTCTCTGCATGCATACTGGCAACCATGCTTTTTTTAATAAAGTATGTATATTTTTTAATACACAGTTTGATCACAATCTTTTTTTTTTTTTTTCAAGTATATGTAAAAAAGAAACTATTATGATGAGCATAATATCTGTAGACAAATAACCCGCAAATAAGACTGAAACTTATGATGACGTTATGGCCTGAATTGAATCATTAACTAGTCACTAATTAATGATCCAGGTTGGGCCAGAACATGGTCTTAAGTTTCAGTCTTTTATGTGCAGGTTATTTGTGTATTGTTCCAGTCATGATATTGTGCCTTTTTTAGTCTTATTATCTGTAGGAAACAAAATTTCTTTATACTTAAAAACTTTCATTTTTTATATTTTTTAGATGAGATGAAGTGCCTTGCCTCTGCTCAGCCACCATGTGCTGCTTTGTGTTGTCACTTGGTGAGACTACACCCTCCCCATGGTGTTGTACTTGCAAAGTATCTTAAAAGACATAGAACAATCTTACCAGCTCAGGCTTCCCTTTTAGCAATGCTTTTGGAGAAGGAAGAATGTCTTTCTACAGCAGAGGCAGCTCTTGCAAAGGTGGCTGATGTTATTAAGATGTGGGCTCTTGATATGGATGGTGATGATGATGATGATGATGATACAACAGGCAAACTTCTTGCTCTTGCTTTAAAAAAGGGCATGATTGGTAGGTGCTGTCTAATTACTGGTAAATCTTGACACAGTTTAATTTCATATTTTTTATCCATTTCTTTTAGTTATAAGTTTAATTTCATATTTTTTATCCATTTTTGTAGTTATAAGTACAGATGACATATGTATGGCTCCAAAGCAAGGACTTCAACTTAAAAATTCATGATTCATTATTTAAACTAAAAACTCAGTATAGTTATAAAAGTTAAAAATAATATTTTCAGTTAATAAAAATGTTACTCAAATGGGGGATCATTTGAATTGTGTTGTCTGCACACTTCTGGCAGGACAGTTGTAGATGGTGAATGAATTTCATGTTTTTTCCTTGTCACCCCCACCTAGGTGGGAAATGGCCAGTGTGTTATAACAAGCAATTTTTTTAATTTTTGTCAGAATATTAACAAAGACATGTTTTGATTTTAAATACTGGACTGTATTTCATCTTCATTAGTTATGTTTCATTGTATTATTTTAAATTTAAATTTTTATTCTTTTAACCTGATATAATTGGGACACAAAATTGTTCCAGAATTAGTTGTTTAAGAACAGATCTTCATCTTTCTGTATATTTTCAGCCATAAGACAAGGAAAAGGTAGACTTGAAATCCCAAAAACTCATTATTTTGCTTAGTTTCTATAGTAAGTCATGGAGGTTGGGAGGGGAGGGACTTTTAGTCCCAAGAAATATTATTAATTTTGAACATGAATCAGTTATTTTAGCTATGTTTAAGAAGTTTCTGGGTAAGTGAACAGAAACACCATCATTGCATTCAATCCCATTCATCATTCACATACATACAAGTGCAAGGATCACCAGTGTTACACACACATGTAAAAATCACCAGCCATACATTATTGTACAGTATTCTGGAAATGTTAGTTGTGGTGGGATGAGGAAAGTTGGAGGAAAGAGTATCTTCTTTCAACAAACCAGCCATATCCCACAGAAGCAGGGTGGCCCAAAAAGAAAAACAAAAGTTTCTCTTTTTAACTTTAGTAATGTATACAGAAGACATTACTAGTCCCTTGCTCCCTAGATGATTTTTTTTTTTTTCAACAAGTTGGCCGTCTCCCACCGAGGCAGGGTGACCCAAAAAAGAAAGAAAATCCCCAAAAAGAAAATACTTTCATCATCATTCAACACTTTCACCACATTCACACATTACCTCTGTTTTTGCAGAGGTGCTCAGAATACAACAGTTTAGAAGCATACACATATAAAGATACACAGCATATCCCTCCAAACTGCCAATATCCCAAACCCCTCCTTTAAAGTGCAGGCATTGTACTTCCCATTTCCAGGACTCAAGTCCGACTATATGAAAATAACCAGTTTCCCTGAATCCCTTCACTAAATATTACCCTGCTCACACTCCAACAGATCGTCAGGTCCCAAGTACCATTCGTCTCCATTCACTCCTATCTAACACGCTCGCGCACGCTTGCTGGAAGTCCAAACCCCTCGCCCACAAAACCTCCTTTACCCTTTCTCTCCAACCCTTTCGAGGACGACCCCTACCCCGCCTTCCTTCCCCTATAGATTTATATGCTTTCCATGTCAATCTACTTTGATCCATTCTCTCTAAATGACCAAACCACCTCAACAACCCCTCTTCTGCCCTCTGACTAATACTTTTGTTAACTCCACACCTTTTCCTAATTTCCACACTCCGAATTTTCTGCATAATATTTACACCACACATTGCCCTTAAGCAGGACATCTCCACTGCCTCCAACCGTCTCCTCGCTGCTGCATTTACCACCCAAGCTTCACACCCATATAAGAGTGTTGGTACTACTATACTTTCATACATTCCCTTCTTTGCCTCCATAGATAACGTTTTTTGACTCCGCATATACCTCAACGCACCACTCACCTTTTTTCCCTCATCAATTCTATGATTAACCTCATCCTTCATAAATCCATCCGCCGACACGTCAACTCCCAAGTATCTGAAAACATTCACTTCTTCCATACTCCTCCTCCCCGATTTGATATCCAATTTTTCTTTATCTAAATCATTTGATACCCTCATCACCTTACTCTTTTCTATGTTCACTTTCAACTTTCTACCTTTACACACATTCCCAAACTCATCCACTAACCTTTGCAATTTTTCTTTAGAATCTCCCATAAGCACAGTATCATCAGCAAAAAGTAACTGTGTCAATTCCCATTTTGAATTTGATTCCCCAAAATTTAATCCCACCCCTCTCCCGAACACCCTAGCATTTACTTCCTTTACAACCCCATCTATAAATATATTAAACAACCATGGTGACATTACACATCCCTGTCTAAGACCTACTTTTACCGGGAAGTAGTCTCCCTCTTTTCTACACACCCTAACCTGAGCCTCACTATCCTCATAAAAACTCCTTACAGCATTTAATAACTTACCACCTATTCCATATACTTGCAACATCTGCCACATTGCTCCTCTATCCACTCTATCATATGCCTTTTCTAAATCTATAAATGCAATAAAAACTTCCCTACCTTTATCTAAATGCTGTTCACATATATGCTTCAATGTAAACACTTGATCTACACATCCCCTACCCACTCTGAAACCTCCTTGCTCATCCGCAATCCTACATTCTGTCTTACCTCTAATTCTTTCAATTATAACCCTACCGTACACTTTTCCTGGTATACTCAGTAAACTTATTCCTCTATAATTTTTACAGTCTCTTTTGTCCCCTTTCCCTTTATATAAAGGGACTATACATGTTCTCCGCCAATCCCTAGGTACCTTCCCCTCTTTCATACATTTATTAAACAAAAGTACCAGGTACCTAGATGAATATCAACATATAATATTAGATTCTTTTTGCTTCATTGACTGTCTCCCTCCAGCATAGGGCAATCTGTCTTGCCAGAAGTGTACTGACATCACAATTTGGAAGACTGAAATATCACTACCCCTCCTTCAGAGTAAGGGCATTACCCTTCCCACTTTGAGGACTTAAGTTTGGCTAATCAATTTACCTGAATCCCTTCATAAATGTTACCCTGCTCTTGCTCTGACAGTACATCAAGCATTAAAAATCACTTGTTTGTTTCCACTCACTTTGCTCTAACTCTCATAAAAGCTTACTGGATGCTGAAGCCTCTAACAGTCAATCACTGTAACTCCCTCTAACAGTTCCTGAAATGTACCCTACCCTTCTTTCCTTCCACCCAGATTTATACACCCTTTAAATGCCCAAATCTCATCAGAAATCCCTTCTCAGCCCTCCGAATTATATCGCTGATGACCTCACACCATCTGAGCTCCATGCTCTGAATAGTCTGCATAATATTCACGCATTGCTCTCAGACAAGACATCTCACTCATCAAACCATCACCAGTGTGCTACTAAGATCTGACCCCTCACAGCCACCACTATTTTATAATAATTGTCTCACTTGGTACATATCAGATTTATTGCTCCCCCATCTCTCTCTCTCTCTCCTACCATATTTCTGCCTTGTTTTTTTTTTTTTATGATGGGCCTTCTCGAAACTTCTAATGGTCTTAACACCTTAGTTTTTTAAAAATTGTTTCTCCTCTATCTGAGTACAAATATACAGTGGAACCTCGGGTTACAAACGCCCCACCATGCGAATTTTTCAGGATACGAGCAGTTGTTCGGTCAATTTTTTGCTTCAGGATACAAAAGAAATTTCAGAATGAGAACTTCCCCTTCAAGGGAGGTTCCTTAAATAAATAAAAAAATAAATAAAAGGTATATTTCTTTGCAAAGGTTACAATGTGTATTTATACATATAATATGATTGGAGCAAAGAAAGCCACTATCGTGCCGAGGCATTTCGGGCAGAAATGCCTACTTAAGACTACCCTTAAGTCTAGACAGGTGAAAAGTGTACTAGTAGTGGTTACCAGTGTTTTGCTTATGGTGGCACCAACTACTGACAGCCTTTTGAAGTTTCTCCTTACTGTTGTTATTATTATTATTATTATTACAGTAGATCGTCATTTAACATGGTAGTTATGTTCCTAAAAACACTGTGTTAGGTAAAACCGTGTTAGGTGAACTGAAGAACTTGTGGGAAAAATAGGGTTACATTCCTGAGAGCCCCCCCCCCCCCACACACACACACAAAAAAAAACTTTTTTTTTTAGGCCGCCACATCTTACAAAAATAAAAGTGAATATGTAATTGTAGTTTATTGTTGTGATGTATTATGTTGTTTCTACTGCTTAGACTACAAATATAACAGAAATAACAATATTTCTTACCTTAAATTGTGGGTGCTGGTGTTTGTGGATGATTGTGAAGAGAGTGGAGAGTAATGCCGTGGCCCTACTGGGCTGAGGTGGATGGTAGAGGTTCTGGTACTGAAGTTGATGGTTGTACTGGAGTGTCTAACTTTAAGTCATTCAGTAAGTCAGTCAAGTCATTCAGTAAGTCAGTCAAGTTATTCAGTAAATCAGTCAAGTGATTAAGTTAGTCATTTCATTCAGTAAGTCAGTCAAGTCATTCAGTAAGTCAGTCATGTCATTCAGTAAGTCAGTCAAGTCATTCAGTAAGTCAGTCAAGTTATTCAGTAAGTCAGTCAAGTCATTCAGTAAGTCAGTCTAGTCATTCAGTAAGTCAGCAAGTCATTCAGTAAGTCAATCAAGTCATTTAGTAAGTCAGTCAAGTCATTCAGTAAGGCAGTCAGGTTGCTCAGTAAGTCAGTCATTCAGTAAGTCAGTCAGTCACACAAACTTATGTTTACCTCTTTTTATGTGTACAAAGTAACACTTCATTATGGCCACAGGTTATGTCGTGTCTAATGTTTTTGTTTCCTTCATTAATTCTAAGACTTAGATAAGATAAGATTTCGTTTGGATTTTTAACCCTGGAGGGTTAGCCACCCAGGATAACCCAAGAAAGTCAGTGCATCATCGAGGACTGTCTAACTTATTTCCATTGGGGTCCTTAATCTTGTCCCCCAGGATGCGACCCACACCAGTTGACTAACACCCAGGTACCTATTTCCTG